GACAGAGATGGGCTAAATTTTTGTGATCTGGAAAGACAAACTCAGCACTTGGGAAACAGCGAAGGAGAAGACCTTTGTCATCAGTGTCCCTATTTCTCCACTGAGCTTGCTGTGGGGCTTCATCCTCAAGGAGGGTCATTTTCAGAGACATGGATGGACTTAGAGGCTTTCATACAGAGTGAAGTAAGTCAGAAAGAGAATAACAAATACTGTGTATTAATTGATACATGTGGAATCTAGAAAAATGGTATGTGCGTGCATGCATGTTCAGTTGCTTCAGTCCTGTCCTACTTTTGTGTGACACTCTGGACTGTACCCTGCCAAGCTCCTCTGTCTGTGAGATCCTCCAGGCAAGAATACTGGAGTGGGTTGTCATGCCCTCCTCCAGGGGATCTTCCCGACCCAGGGATTGAACTCATATCTCCTGCATTACAGGCTGGTTCTTTACTGCTGAGCCACAAGGGAAGGCCCCCCCAAAATGGCATAGATGTTCTTATTTGCAAAACAGAAATAGAGACACAGGTGTAGAGAAGAAATGTAGTGACACAAGGTGGGAAGGAAGGGTGGGATGGATTGGGAGATTGGGTTTGATATATATTCACGACTATGTATAAATAGATAGGTATTTGAGAACCTCTGTGCAGCACAGAGAACTGCGCTCAGTGTTCTGTGGTGATCTGAATGGGAAGGAAATCCCAAGAAGAGAGCATATGTGTAGATATACACACACATAGCTCATTCTCTTTGCTGAACAACAGGAACTAACACAGCATTGAGAATCAATACACTCCAATAACAATTAATTTGAAAATAAAGAAGCCCATACGGCAGTCCAGTGGCTGGCTCCCCGTCACCTTGCTGTCATCCAAGGACACCGAGGCTTCTTTATTATGGATGTTGGGGGTGGGTGGAAACACAGAATGTAGACAGCAGCCTCCTTTGCTAGCGTATGCACTTTTATGCTGAGTTCTTGGAGGTCTGGGAATTTCTTAGGAAACTGACCTTTTTCCTGGTGGAGGAGGATGGGGGTCGCGTGTGTGGAGTTAGCAGTAGTCAGGGACGGAGCACAGTGAAAAGGTGCCGTGGCTCTGGAGGAGGGAACCATCATCCACTGACTCTCTGGCCCTTTGTTTCCCTGCCTTGGGCACTGGACTGCTTCATGACCACCTGGAGGGGAAGTGCATCCCGGACTGTGAGACCAGCCCCATCCTTGGCAGGAATGAAACAGGAGATGCAGGGCCAGCAGTCCTCAGATCCACCTGTTGGTTTTTATTGCACACAGTTAGACGGATTCTGCCTGTTTCATTTGGTGCTCCCATTTCCTCTGGCTCAGGATCCCCGCTTCCTACCCTTGGTGCCTTGAAGGACTCCTGTCTTGTCCCTTGGACAGATGGCATCTAATGCTTGTAGCAAGCTCTGCTTCTGATGGGAAGCTTACCTTGGGTCTTGTCCGGTCATTGATGAAGAGACTTGGCCAAGTTAAAAGAAACAGTAGCCATGTTTTCTTTTCTTTTTAAAAAATATTTATTTATTTACTTACTCATTCATTTACTTAATTTTGGCTGCTCTGGGTCTTTGTTGCTGTGTGCGGGCTTTCTCCAGCTGCAGTGAGCAGGGGCTCCTCTTTCGTTGGGGTGCATGGGCTTATCGAATTGACTTCTCTTATTGCAGAGCACGGGCAGGGTGTGAGCTCAGCAGTTGAGGTGAATGGGCTTAGTTGCCCTGGGGCATGTGGGATCTCTGATCCTGATCCTCGGATCAGGGATCTAACCTGTGCCCCTGCATTGGCAGGTGGATTTTTAACCACTGGACCACCAGGGAAGACCCTAGAATCTTAACAGTATCTCACCTGGTGTGTGTGTGTGTGTGTGTGTGTGTGTGTAGAAGCATAGAGGTGTGTAGACACGCCATCTCAAACTGGACTGAAAGCTTTATCTGGTGAAGGGACACACCCCTTGTTTCTTTCCTAGGACTCCATGGAACCTGTGCAGAGAACTAGGCCAGCCTTCAAAGCTTGATGACTGACTTAATAAAGCATAAGAATAACTGTACATTTATGTAAAGCCTTTCCCCCAGGAGTGCTCCATACTCTGCAGATAATGGACTTATTTATCCCTGGAGCACCTCGGTGAGGCACTTCCAGGACAGGAGTGACCAGACTTGTGGAATAAATAATGTCAAGAACAGCATGAAGCTAAACTAGCTGATAAGTCTGAGGCCCAGAGGAGGTGGGATGGGCCCAAGGTCACCCATTGAGCTGGGACCCGGACCCAAGTTCTTGCCGCAGTGAGGTGACTCTCTAGCACCTGTGTTCCTGGGTCCCATCTGCATGTCCCCCAGGCTGGCCACGGGCCTTCCACCTCCAAAGGCATATTCCACGGGATATTAGAGGCCTTCTTACTAACCCCTGCCCTAGAAAGTTCTGGAAATAATGGGTATCACAGAGTTAAGCAGGTTTCTTTACTCGAGGACTCTGTAGACACTTTCATAATCCACTTTGTTAATTTCCAAGGGGTGTGCCCAGGACGCAACGGTATCTCAAATTTAATTGTCTTTGGAAACTTCCTTCCCCAGGATCTCGATGGATTGGGGAAGTGCTTGATTTTTTAATATCTGGCGCCAGAACTTCCCCTGTGGAAGGGGATATCTAAGTTTAGGAAGAATCTTGGCAAGCCAGCTTGGGATGTGGGTAATGCTGTAAAGCATGACTGTCATTGGAGGCTGAGACATCGAGAGGGAAGGTGCATGAGACAGAGGGGAGAAGTGGATTGTTTTTGTTCCTAAAGGGGAGGAGGAAAGAGAAGAGGAGAAGAAAGAGAAGGGCTAAAAGAGAGATGCCAGGAAGAGGAGAAAGGGTTGGGCTGGGTGGAGTCAAGATTCAGTGAAGCTCCAGGATGGTGGAAGAACCAAGGCCATTTAAAAGGATGCTCATTGTTTTATGTGAAGTTGTTGGATCTGCAGTGTAAATCTCTCCTTCATTCTTTCCCTCTCCCATCTATAGGGAAGGTAGGATCTTACAGGCTTTGTAGAGTGGTGTGTGTGTGTGTGTGTGTGTGTGTTTGTGTGTGTAGATTGAGAAAGAGCTTCGTTCCTTCCCTGAAATTTTGTGACCAAGGAAAAGGCAGCATTAACAGAAGTGGGAGCCCGGAAGTAGAGATGACCCCAGAGGTATGCCTTTGTGTGCTTATACAACCCTTGGGAGGTTTGGGCACTTTGGGCTTGAGCTAAGCCCCCTAAGTTCTCAGATGCACCTAAGCTGGAACTGGGCATTCTGTAGGTGAGCTGACATCCAACACTGTTCCCCAACATGTCATCCTAGGCTCCCAGTTACTGTCTCCATTTGCGCCACAGTAACCCGAGCCTCAGAGAACAGGTCTTCCAACAGTGATCCTAGTTTTCCTCAGAAGTCTGTTCTCCAGGTTCAACAGACTTCATTCCTTCCAAATGTCTCATATGACTACGTACCAAGACTTGTCATCCTTCTGGCCACCCTGGTCTAGCCATCCTTCAAGATTTCAACCTGCCTCTTGGGGTCAACCCAGTGCTGGGCTGTGTGGTCTGCCCATCACCAAATCCAGGAGATTCTTTACACTCTGTGATCTGGTCCTTCACTTCTACTAAGGAAACCAGAATCTGATTCAGCATTGTTTTTGTTTGGCAGTCGCCGTGCGTTCTTGGCTCCCTGAAGCTTAAGGTCAGCGAAAAATCCTTGTCAGGTAATAAATGAGCTTACTCATTTGGGTTACAGCTGTTCTCTGATGGAATGGTATTACTGCCACGTGGCTGAAGACGGCTGCTTCTCCCGTCACGTTACATAATGATTGCAGTTTATATCATGTTGTCGTGGGGGACGTGCAGAGTCTGGGTGCAGCTTGAAGGAGTGCCTGGGTGTAACGAAGTGGTAATTAACAGCGTCAGTCACAAGTAACTTTTTTCTTTCCTTCCTGCACTCCACAGCTTGTTTGTCAGAGGCTGCTGATGCTCTCCTGGTAGGCGCTATGTAAACATACAGGTAGACGGAGAAAGCCTGGCAGACGGTGATTGTCGAGTGGAGACAGGGACCCCATCACTAACACCCCTAACAGTAATGACAGCCATTGTGTATACACACAAATCACCCTAAACAGCTTTTACAAAAGCACTTTTGGCGGGGGTTGGGGGGGTGTACGCAGGGATGGGGAGGGGAGAGAATGGAGAAGACTGGAAGGATGTGAAGGTCTTCATGAATATTAGCCGATCATCTGTCGTCTGAGCTGCGTTGGTATCTCCTGATGTCAGTGACTCTCGAGGGGACAAAGTCCCTGGTGAACCTGGACCTTGAAAGATCATGAATTTCATGTGGGAGAAGGGGGGAGGGAAGGTACTTCCTCTTGCACTGTTCACTAGCTGTGTGACCTTGAGCAAGCTGACCTTTCTGAGCCTCAGTTTCTCCATCTATAAAATGGATTTTCCGAAGTGGATGCAGGGGAGGATGGGAAGGCAGAACCAGTGCCCTGAAGCCTGGAGGAGCTATAACTCAGTAACTGGGAAGAGTAATCTCCCTTTTTGGTCCGGGTTCTGTTTGGAGTGAGACCAGTCACTCACTCGTCCCGCAGGAGTGAGCCTCTCAGGGATCAGGTTTGCGATGCGGCTGTGGGTATGCGGAGACAGAGACCCTGCTTGCAGGGGACACAGGACCACATACTGATAACAATGCAGGACAGAAATGAGAAGCCCTCTAAGAAGCTAAAAAAGAAGGTGATACAGTAGTTTACTCTGAGCGGGGGATGAGAGGGTGGCCAGTTCTGCAAAGGTTGGCACTTGTGTGATCCTGAAGGGTGAGTTGAGGGGGGGTGACAAGGAAGGGGTGCAAGGGAACACCCCACCTGAAAAAAGAGAAAAGTATGACCCCTCCACTTGAACACAGAGTGTTTTCCCATCAACGATCAGATTCCGCCCTCACTCTCATAATGATAGCAAGTAACATCACAAAGCACTCTGCATTCTGGGTACTGTTGGAACTCGCCCAGCCAAGGCAGTAGAGAGGAGCCAGTTCCTTCTGACCGGTGGTGTCCCGGGGTGGAAAATACCAGTGACAAGCTTGAAAGTCATTTGCGGGAGGTGAGCCTGGAAGCAGGTCATTGACCTGATCTAAGTAATACCTTTAGGTGGTGAATCAGGCCACTGATCCTGATACGAATGAGGAGTCTCCTTCAAGGCAGTCTCCCTTTCTCAGGTGCCTAGAATTTCAGCCTGAAATCATTAATTTAAAGGTGTGGGGGCATGGGAGATAAGGTTGAAGCTTGAACCCACACTAAGCTACAGTTTTCTAGAGGAGTGAATTAACTTTAATTTGTTTTTATTAATTTATTAAAATTTAATTGAGTTTTAATTGAATTAAAATTAAACTCACTAGTTAATCCCTTATCCATTCAATGAACAATTAGGAGAGATCTAAACGTGTCAGGCACTGAACATGATCTGTCATTGTCCAGCCCAGCCTCTAAGCATCCCCTAAAGGAAATGCCCTTCAAGAAAGCTTTCCTCATATGTCCTCTGGTGATGGGCTCTGACTTCTCTCCAGATGGGCCCCAGGTCATCCCTGTTTTCTCAAGTAGCTCACCATCTCATGGCGGTGGAGATCCATTGGTAGACTTGACTCGATATGGTAAGTGGTGTTGGAAATCTGCAAGGCTGTTAAAATGAGAGCAGAGAGGAGGTGCAGTCCGAGAAGACTTCTTGGAGACAATGAAAGCTGGGCAGGGCCTCCGGAGGGAGTTCTGGAGACAAGAAGCAAAGGGTCAGGGGGACTTTGGGTGACTGGAGTTGTTACAGCAGAACCTGGGAGCTGGGGGGTAGGGAGAACTATGGCTGGATACTCGTCGATGGTGGTGGATGAAGATCAGATCACAGAGGGAATATGCACCATGTGTAGAAGTTTGGACTCTGATAAATGATGAAGAGCCATTTATGCTTCTCAGGAAGAGGAATGACAAGGTCCAATTTGAACTTTTTGTGAATGATAATGGTGAATGCTTGTATCGTTCTGGGCACTGTTTTAAGTGCTTTGCAAATAATCCTCATGATAATTATACATGTTGGTGTTAACATCATCCCCATTTAACAGATGAGGAAACTGAGGCTTAGAGCTTAAATGACTTGCCCAGGCCCATCAGATAAGAAGAGGGCAAAGTGGGCTTCCCAGATGGCGCTAGTGGTAAAGAACCTGCCTGTCATTGCAGGAGAGAGAAGAGATGCAGTTTTGATCCCTGAGTCAGGAAGTTCCCCTGGAGGAGGAAATGGCAACCCACTCCAGTTTTCTTGCCTGGAGAATTCTCATGGACAGAGGAGCCTGGTGGGCTACAATCCATGGGGTCACAAAGAGCCAGACATGACTAAAGAGACTTAGCATGCATGCACAGTCTGGCTCTAGAGTTTGTACTCTTATCCAGTCTGTTCTACGACTTGTAGGGGCACCATTCCAAGCAGCAAGTCTAGAAATCGGGACACCCTTCTGGAAGCGGTTGCAGGAGACACTGAGGTCTTCAACTAGTGATGAGAGAAGGGGGGTACATTCCAGAAATATCAGGGAGAAGTCATCCGTCAGACGATGGTTACCGTCAAGGGAGTTGGGGGTTAACGTTGGGCTTGGTGGTGGTGGTGGGGCAACTGTTTCCTGCAAAGGCCCAGATAGTAAAACTTCCAGGCTCTGGGGGTCAGACGGTCTCACTGTAACTACTCAATCACCTTTGCAATGTGAAAGCACTATAGACAATCTATAAATGAATGAGCATGGCCATGTTCCAATAAAGCTTTATTAATGGACATGAAACTTGAATTCCACAGAATTTTCATATGTCATAAAATGTGATTCTTCTTTTGATTTTTCTCCAGTCCTTTGAAAATGCAAAAACTATTCTTAGTTCCAGGGCCATAGAAAAACAGGCGTGCTTAGTCGCTCCGTCATGTCCAACTCTTTGTGACCCCATGTGCTGTAGCTCACCAGGCTCCTCTGTCCATGGGGTTTTTCAGGCAAGAATATTGGAGTGGGTTGCCATTTCCTCCTCCGGGGGATCTTCCTGACCCAGGGATTGAACCCACATCTCCTGTGCCTCCTGCATTGCAGATGGATTCTTTACCTGCCGAGCCATCAGGGAAATAGGCCAGATTTGAGCTGAGGCTGTAGTTCTCTGACCTCTGGGCTAATTCTTGGGAAGGGGGAGGTGAGTGGTGGTCAGGAGGCGACCCAGGATGATCTGAGGACAAAGCAAAGTGAACTATGATGCCGACATGCTGCTCCCGGGACACATGCAGCGAGGGGAGTCGTTCAGAGCTGGCCTGCAATACGCGACCCCCTTAGACCTGAAGTGCTGCTAATAAAGGAACATTTGCAAGGACGGCGTTAACAAGCAGTAGCTCTCGTGTCTTCCAGCTCTCCCTTCCCACCCCAGGCCTGGTGGTAATGAAAACACGTTTATATCAACACAGAGGTCATGGTCACACAGCCACCCTCATGCTAAAGCATCTCCGAATACTAATAGTTTTCATTTAATGCGAGATCTGCATTGTATGGGAGAGCTTAAGGTGACCCAAAATACCCCTCTAAATTGCACAACTTTATAAATAAAAAATCATTCTACAGGCTAAATGACTCCAATGTTCTTCCTCCACGTTGAGATAGGGGAAACACAAAGTTTGAAATTATATCTGAACATGAATCTTAGGGCACCAATGGTACGCGTCGTGGCTTAAAAGGCACCCCCTGGGCCACCGGCTCCACCAGCCATGGTCCCCCATCCCAACCTTGGGCCAGGAAATCTCTCACTGGGCACAGAAAGTGACACGTTCACGGGTGTTTGTCACGAGGAGTCTCACTTGGGCAACAGCTTTTGGCTGTCATTTTTCAGCACAAACTCTATCCCAGGCACTTGGCCACACCCTCCGTAAGTAGACAGTGACAGATGTTTTGTTATGCTGTCAATGACGCTAATGTCATGTGAACAAAGGGGCCTTAGAGAATGTCTCATTGAAGTGTTTCTAAACACGAAAAACTTAATCAGTAGATTCTTATGCACATCATCACCTCTTACAGGGACTTTAACATACAACCTGGAAAAGAGGGGGCAGGATGCCCCCTCTTGCACAGCAGGCCCTGAAGCATCCTAGAGTTTGGCATCGTGAGTATGACCTTCATTTTATTTTATTAAAAAAAAATTTTTTTTTATGACCTTCATTTTATAAAAGTCAGAAGCTGAAGACCAGAGAGGTTAGGTGGCTTCCCCCAAAGCACAGCTCTGGCTAGAGGCTGTTACCTCCCACGTCAGTAGCCACTTCTGTCTGCAAGGCTGTTTCACAGCAGCATTTTCTGGAGATACCCTCCGACTATAGGCAGACTCTTCCAGGTCAACCAGGAGCCCTTGACCTCCAGTAGGGGCAGTTTGGTGAAAAGAAATTAGCCTTGGAAGACATGATGGCAACTTGGGTTTGAGTTCCCATGGCCATGTATCAGCTACATGACTTCCAGCAAGTAACTTCCTATGCAGAAGCCTGGGCTTCTCATGTGCAAAATAGGAATAGCAATCAGGCTTGTTATGGGGACTTTGTGAAAAGAAGTAAATGAAAGCATTTTGTGAGAGGTTGTATTTAAGAATGTGATCATGGCTGTTCCAGGCAAAAAAAAATTCCAGCTGCATTTCAATCTTTGCTCTGTGCCCGTTTCTCTAGCTCCAACCATGTCTCCATCTGCCATCCATCCAGGCAACAGGGAAGGAGAAAAGGACTTTTCTTTACCCTCTGGTTCCTGGGCAGCATTCAAGAGTTATGGGCTTTTGCTCCCCCAAGAAAAAAGACATTATTCTCAGCCTTCAAGGGAGAGGATTCCTGCGTGTAACAGGACTGAATGATGCCTTTTCTCTTGCTCTCGCACCAGAATTTAAGAGGGCCCCAGAGCAACCGAGTTTATTAGGACCCATAAGAACTGTACTATAACCGGGACACCCACAGCCATAAACCTCTACCTTGAAGCTTGCAACAAATCCTGAAATGGTGAACTAGGACGAGCTCTTGTCTCTGTCAGCAGAAAAAAATAAAATAAAATAAAGGGAGAAATGCAAACTTAAGCAGAAAAAGAGACCTGAGAAGGAAAGGCAGGAAGAATGGGAGAGAGCAACAGTACCAGCGGTGCTGTGAATGATGGTGAAAATAATAATCCTGATAAGAAGGCGGCCAGTGTGGCCAGACCTCCCAGGAAATGCCTGGGGACGTCACCTGTGTGATAGGATGGGGAGTAGGGGAGGGACCAGTAGAGAGGAAGATGCACAGGTATGTTGGTGCACACATACATCACATGTATGCCCACAGTGTACTCATACATGCACACACAGAAACACACACATCCACATGGACACACATATGCACACGTGCAAATACATGCTCAGGGTACACATGTACACACAAGTTATGCACAGGCACAAGGAACATGCATGCACACATGTGCACACAAGTATATACATACACGTTTGCACACAGATACATGCATGGACACATAGATGCACACATGCAGATACATGCACACAGGTGCGCACACAGATATATACATGCATATAGGGACACGTTCACACAGGTATACACAGCACATATGTTTGCACACAGATACAGGCATGCGTCTGCACACATGTGCACACAGATACACTCAGGCATACATATACACACAGATGCACATATGCACACAAGGTATATGGTGTGTGCACCAATATACAATGCACAGACAGCCAAACAGAGGGGAGGAGAGAAGCTGGGTGGAGGGAAGCAAAACCCAGGTAAGCAGTAAAAGCTGTCTTGGGGCCCCTGGGCTGCTCCTGCTTATGAAAGGGCCATTTGGAGCAAGATCTGTGGTGAGGGAGAGTGTGTTTTCTCCCTGAGCCTTTGGTGGCTGAACTGACTCTGCCCTGAATGCTCTGAGCTGCAGGAAGGCTGCACAAAGGCTTGGCCCTTAGTAGAAAAGAGCAGCACAGGTGAGCAGCAACTGGATTTAGGGCGGAGCCTGGAAGTGGAACCACCATCTCCTCCTGGGACAGGGCTGAGAGCCCGTCTGTGAACAGCAGGGTGTAAGCATGCCCACCCCTCCACCCCTGTCTGCCCCCACTGGGCCCTCCTCTGTAGGTGCCAGAGTCAGCCCCAAATCCCCCTTCACCACCTGGCAAATCCTGTTTAGCAGCAGACGCTAAACCTGTTCCCCTCTCCTTCCTTGTAAACGGAACCATGTTTTCATTTGGAGTGACAACATATCCATTTCATCTCCCAGGCTCTATGGTGGTTCTTTGAGGCTATTTTGGTCAGTGAGAGAAATACCTAAATTTGCTGGGGAATGGGGGCAGATTCTAGGAAAACTTTGGCTTTCTCGATAACAGAGAAAATAGAGGTCAGAGTCATCCTTTCTACTCTGTTCTTCCTTTGAGCCTGGTCATGATGTCTGGAGCCACAGTAGCCATCTTGTGACCATGAGTCACAGAGGTCAAAAACCACCACCCTAGAGATGATAAGACAGACAGTCAGAAAACTGATCTGGCACCTCCCATCTCTGGACTTCTGTTACATGAGAAAAATAAACACTTCTTTGTTCAAGTCACCGTGGATTCCTTTTTCATACTTGAAGCCAAACTCGATTATAACTGGTACATTCAGGTAGAAAGGGACTTGACTTCTTTCTTGTTTTTTTAACTTCCAACCTTCCTGCTGTCCCTTTGTAGCTCATGAGACCTACTTGCCAAAGAATTAAGTAATCTCAACATTCCTGACGGTGTGAAACAGAGTGTCTTGGAGTGGGCTGGGTGGGAGGAAAGAGAAGGACCAGGTCAGGTGCAGGCAGGCTGACTCTGAGCCCGCAAGCTCTCTCCCACACCTACTTTGGTGTCAGGAGCACTTCTCTCCTTCCCTTCTCCCCACCCCACTAAGTTTTCAGTTTGCTGTTTTCTACACTTCCAGCCTGCCTCTTTGACCCCATCTCAGATCTAGAACGGGTTAAACTTTTTATTGATTTATTTTTCTTTTTGCGAGAGTGTAGGGAGGAAGAAGAGGGAAAATAAATTATCCATCTCCCAAGATACGATCTGTAGTTAATTCTTAATTAGGACTGACAGATGTTTCCCTCATAATCCTCTCCCCAACATGTTCTGTTTGCTTTGTTTGCTGCTGGAAGATATATTGTGACATGCTAATGACCTTTCTAAGCTTGTCCTGGAAGTGTTATTGGCAGTCTAATGATTTATTGCGTGTTCCAGTTGATTACAGGGCCATTTGTCAACATTTTATTTCTCTCTCCATAAACCTGTCTCCTGCGTCACAGACGTTCACCAGCATGAAATTTAAACAAATACAGTATATGGCCCTTACTCCCTGTCTGCTTTCACTTGGAACCTCTGGAGCAAACCCATTCTGGCCAAAAGAGGGCTTTTTATGACCGATGCTGTCGTGGTTTTCACGGAGGTGGGAGTTAGTCTCTGTGTATGAGTCTAAGGATGACTTCCTCTTCTTTGATGTGTAATTCCCTGGGTTGGGTTGTTTTTTTTTTTTTTAAAGCAGAATTAGTCAGGCCAGTTTCCCAATTATTTAGATAGATTCCATTTCTGGGGTTTCAAGCAGTCATTTTGTGCCTCTTGGCGGGCAAGAACATGCTTGGCTAGAAAAGGAGGTGCTGGCTGGTCTGAACCAGTCGGTCAGGCAAATTTACCTCTTCACTCCTTACATCCACAGAGGCACCTCACAGGTGACAGGACTGAGCAAGCCCAGGGGACACAGTGAGAATATGAGTCACACCCTCAAGGCACAAAGGTTTGAGCAGTTTTCAACTTGCTGGGTGACCTTGGGCCCATCCCACCTCCTCCCAGGCCTCAGACTTACCAGCTAGCTTAGCTTCATGCTGCTGTTGACATTATTTATTCCATGAGTCTGGTCACCCCTGTCCTGTACGTGCCTCACAGAGGTGCACCAAGGATAAATAAGTCCATTATCTGCAGAGTGCTGGAGCGCTATCCTTGGAGAAAGGCTTTACATAAATGCACAGTTATTCTTGTGGTTTATTAAGTCAGTCATCAACCTTTGGAGCTGGCCCATCAGTCACAGTGAGGTCATGTGAAAAAAAAAGACAGAAGATGCTATCCCTTTCAGTTTGGGTTGAAAAGGCTCAAATATTCTCCAGGTTGCTTTCATGCACGTGCACACTCATGCACATGCCTGACAGAGGGCACTTTTTAAAGTTAAACACTCAGTCTGAACAGTGTGAGGGCTTAGATTTCCTCAGGCCTCTGCATCTCTAGGAAATTGTTATCCTGGTTCCCAGCACTCTCTCTCTTAAGTCACGTGACAAAGCCAGGAAGTGATGACTGTGGTCCTGTGTATGGCTGATGTCTCCCATGTGTTTCCCACAGGTATCTCAAAAATCACCAGGTTGATAACTGAACTTGGAATTCATCTGCGTGTTTTAGTTCCCTGAGAGCTGCTTTCTCTTGAATTCTCTTTTTTATCTAATGGCTTGAGCATCTGCTCCGTGGCCCAGTTAGAAACCTGAGAAGCATCCTTGCCTGCATCCTTTCCCATATCTTCCTCAAGTTCTGTTGGATTGTGGGTCCTGGGTTCTGACCCCTCCCCACCATCACATCTGTCCTCAGGCCCTCATCGGCCCTCTCCTGGACCTTGCCAATAGGCTTCTCCCTGGGCAGGGACAGTGGTTGGGACAACAGGCGCCCAGTCTTGCTGGTCACAGAGCCACTATGTCTATTGGAAAGAGATCTGGTGGCATTGGTGACACAGGGCAGGTGGGAAGGTGGGGAATTAGGGTGAGGGTACAGCCAGGAGTCAAGAGATCTCTGGAGATCAGGCAGTTGGATCCCTCATCAAGGTCACTGTTTCTGCATTCCATGTTACAAGTTACCCCAAGCTTAGTGGCTGAAATGACATTCGTTTTGCTCACGAATCTGCAGTTTGGGCATGGCTTGGAGGCACAGCTTGTCTCTACTTCTGCTTGGCTTCAGCTGGAATGGCTTTGAAGGCTGGGGCCTGGAATCACCTGAGGGCTCCCTGAAATATCGTGTCTGATGGCTGATGCTGGCTGGAGCCTTAGCTGGACTGTTGGCCAGAACACCTCCACATGCTTCCTCTAGGGGGACAGGGCTTCCTTGCA